CAAGCCGGTTCAGCTTACCCGGTCCAACCGGAGCCAGACCAGCCCCGGGGGGGTGAACTGGGAAACCGGTTTTCAAGAAATAAAGCCCAATTCTCTCCCTCTCTATTTTTTTTTTTTTTTAGTGGATTCTGACTGCGCTCTTCAAGAGTTGTCGAAATCCGTAATAAATTTTTGAAGGTCCAAGATATTTTTCGGGGGTGCCCCACGAGAGGTGGGGATATTATTGGGATATTCACGCAGGTGTCGCTTTCAGGGGAAGGGGTCCTGGCCCAAGAACTTCAATTCAGTATCAGAGGCCCGAGGGCATTCTGGAAAATGCCAACAGCCATCATAATCCTGCAGCCTGAACGAGACATGATAGGAATGGATCCTACCAACGGGCCTAGGTCAGTTGGTATACCCACGAACTGTTGAAATACAGACTCAAGTTCGAATCCAGATGCAGTCAGATCAACAAAATTACATATTGATGAATTACCTAGGGCTGGTCGGTTCAATGATGATATCTCAAGGCCGTTGCCCTTTTTTTTAAAAAGAAAATAACAAGTAAAATGATAGGAATGGATCCTTACCAAAAACTTGTCGCTTTTCCAGAGTGTAGCTTGACAGCAGAAAACTCGTGGAAGCAAAACGTTTTYTGTTTTTTTTTTTTTTTTTTTTTTTTTTTTTTTTTTTACATACGCAGGGTTATCAGTGTCCTCAGTCCGAAAGTATCTCGCCTACCAGTCTGTCCAGTACATGTAGTGGAACCAGGTCCATTCTAGATAGATTGAGAGAAAAATATAGCTTAGGTCCATTCTTGGGGTGGCACCTCAGACAGAGCTGAAAGCCAAACCCATAACTCTATTCCCCAGAGCTTAGTGATGTTGCAGAATATCCTCAGGAGAGCCATTGCTCTAGCATAGTAATTCTGTTGTGGCTGAGGATGAACGAGTATGTCCTGCCAATGGCAACAGGTCCCTGGTAGGCCCCCAATTTTTGAGAAAACGCACGTGGCGGTTGTCCCCCGCCGATCTGCAAAGATAAGCGGTGGAGATCCTCCGCTCTTGTTTTCCAGAAGTGGGACCCAAAAAGCCGCAATTTTCTTTTTTAGAGGAGGCCGCAGCCTCGTGGGGGCGGGGCAGTCGTTGGGATACCTGTCACTGCCCGATACCCCCCGTCCAGCCCAATGCGCTGGACTCGACCGGGGGTCTGCCCGGGCCGGTCGACTGGCCGGTCCGACTGGCAGGCTCCCGGGGCGGGGCCGGGGCCCCCGGTCGAACCGGGGACCAGCTCTCGTTGACATAAGAAATCGCCACCATCAATATGGCATGGACCATGGTGCGCCATTATCCTGCAACTCCCATTGTTTCCAGGCATGGACAAGGGCCATGGCCAGGCCCATGTACAATGTAGCAGAGATGTGAGATGGAGGACAAAACCGCTCACCTGGCTGATAGCCCACTTCGAGTTGCCCCTCTCTCATTGCTCCTGTGTAGGACCTCAACTGTGAAGCCGCCTTCTGCCTCAAGCAAGTGCAAGAAAGTTCAAGGGACTACCTTCTTCCCCCGAATACAACGTACGGTCGTTATAGCTGTATTTGAGGCATCTTTCAGTCCAGATACAGCTATAATGACCGTACGTTGTATTCGGGGGAAGAAGGTAGCATACGGCTGGTGGTGGAGAATACGCAGACAAGAATCACTCGTAGAGTACAGAGACCTCATCAGAGAATGGGAAGGGTATCAGGCTGCAGTGTTGGGCACTGGCCAACAATTTGCAGGGTACTCACATGGTGCTGCAAGCCCAAAATGTCTTGGCCTGTTTTTTGTAGCGTTTTTTCGGGTTTGATTAACATAACAAAAGCATAATGGTTGACTTTGGATCTTAGCACCCAACCCAAAGTCTGTCTGCGCAATTTTGCTGGTCAGACATTTGCAGATCACCCACGCGGTCTAATCCTTGTGGGGCAAAAAAATCTGCGGTTCCGTCAAACGATGCCGGGGTACATGGCCCCAGCCGACTTCGGAATCACAATTGAGTCACCCAAAAAAGTCCCGAGGATTGAGGCAACCGGCCCAAAATGGCTAGCACCGCCACGTGCTGGCGTTTTGGCAAAGCTTGTGCAAAAGAGGTCTGGATGTACTGGTGGTTTACGGATAACAGCAAGCCCCCCGAGAGCCGGGAGTGACATTCTGACTAGGTGGTCATACTACTGGTGGCGGCTACGCTGTGCTGTTGTGCCTGTACAGATCCCACAGACGCTTGTGAGGTGGGGCCTCCCCATGGCCACTTGTTATATTCTGGGATTCTGCTGTGTGGGGGGGGGGGGCGTTGCCATGCCTTTGAACCGAATTTTCTGCGGTCCTCTACCCTTGCTATTGTCTTGTTCCCTAACAGACGTTTTACAAAAAATCTGCAATGATTTTTCGTCATTGTCCTTGTTCTTGACAACTCCACTTTCTCACCCCACACCCTCCGTATGCCGTTTCCAGTGGTTGACGTACACACCCTCCTTCAGATACCTCTGCACAGTCCGACGGGTTAACAACTGAACACACGACGTTTGCCACAGCACATCGTTTTTACTTTTTTCAAAATTTTTTGCTCCTCGAGCACAAGGATTGTAAACACAAACTTGCCGGAAACAGGACAAGAATTGAGCAAAATTCTACACTCAAAGTGACTCGAAAAATGTCCTTCGGGACATCCGTTAAAATCGGAACGATACAGAGAAGATTAGCATGGACTCTGGGCACAAAAAAAAAAAAAAAAAAAAAAAAAAAAAAAAAAAAAAAAAAAAAAAAAAAAAAAAAAAAAAAGTGACTCGACTAATTTGAGCTTTTATTTATCCTTACGGAACGTGACTCACCACTTCCAGAGCATCGTTTAGTAGACGAAGCTTGCGAAGGAGGGCAGGTGAAAACATGTGGAAATTGGTTTCGAAAACAAAGGACGACGGCAGAGGAGAAAGTGACGGCCAGAACTGACCACAGAAAATACTTTTAACTTTTAAGAATTGTGCAAAAAATTCCCAAAAATTGAAAAATACGTTGGTGGCATGCTGGAATCGGCAATGGCAGAACTGAACGGATGGCTGTACGGCACCCCGAAACCGTCGGGAAAAAAAAAAAAAAAAAAAAAGGATGACAGCAGAGGAGAAAGCGCTGGGCAGAACTCATCACAGAAAATACTAAAATAGTAATAAGAACTATGCAAAAAATATATCGGTGACATGCTGGAATCAGCAATGGCAGATCGGAAAGGATGGCTGTAAGAAACCCGGAAAACCTCGGACTTCCCGATGTGCAAGGGATCTTTCGTGCTCTGTTCTTCATGGAGCTGCCAAAGGATAAGTTGGTGGGATGCTGGAATCAGCAATCCCCAAAACGAAAAGGATGACTCAAATCTCTCGTTCGCATCCTCTAGTTAAAATTCCAAAGGGAAAAACACATCTTTAGTTCTGATAAACCAGACAAACTGAATGGAGTAGCGGACAGACGTAACAAAGTGGATGTGTGTTGTAAACTGTAACCGCAGCAACCCCTTTTCCACCTAAGCGAGTAGATCCAAATTTGCAACGGACTTCTTGATACATTGTGTGTGTGTGTGTGTGTGT